AGCCTGATCAGGTTACCGGATCAGACTGCCCAAAGACTGATGCACGATTCCTACTGAAAGCGTTTATCATTGTATTTGTTTATCGATACAACCGGTGAACTACATACAGGAATTCACGTGCCCCCCAAGCCGAGCGGAAACGGTCAGGTGTGTGACGGACTTTATGTCAATGAATAATGTCATCGAATAGCGCAAAGCACCTTCAAGTTGCTTGTGATCAGGTTTTTTCTCTGGTCCGGTAGCCTCACATGGTGCGCTTACATCCAACGTCAGGTTTTTTTGTCATCGGACGCCATATTTCGAAATCGAGTGAAATTCATATCTTCAAGCAGTCTGATCCGATAACCTGAACTAGGAGATATACTTGATAAAGCGTTCGGCTCATCGCATGGCTAATTTTCGGGTGTGCAGGTCCTACCCTGGGAACACCTTTTAATGCACCATGAAGACCCCTTACGACTATGCGTGAGTCCTTTCTCTAGGACTCCACAGAACCTCTAATCCGCTCTAACAGGATTATCAAAGTTCTTCAGACCCAGGACACCATGGGAGTCCTAATGCAAAGCCGTCAGACCCGAGTGTAAAGACACGTACAAAAATGCGATAACCCAATAAAAAGCAGGGGAATTAAATTCGCCCACTTCCCCTCGAATCTCCTCGCGCAGATATATTACGTGATATGAGGACCCCTTCAGGGGCGTCAGAGGGGATGAGCCTGGAAGTGGATATTAAGTAGTCAGGGGAGCTCCCGCGTGGCCAGGAACTGCAACTTAATGTAACGCACTTGCAGCTGCACCACCGAGAGCCTCTTAATTAAGTTCGCCCTCTCCTTCTTCCTTCCTCTTCCTCCCTAGCTGGGTGTCTCTAATTTTCCCAGCGGGCCAGCTGGGTCTAAAAATTTCCAACTCCCCGGGAGGCAATTTCCCGAAAAGAGGTAACGACTCGATCCGATAAAGCCACCGCGTGAGAATCGACGTGGAGGCGGCAAAGGGAACCGGGAAACGCGAATACCTCCTTCCGCTGCGGAGCAGATCCAATATGGCGGCGACAGGTGGGGGCATAGCGCGCACGCGCCTATATATCGGGGATTTCTTTCAAAAATTCAACATCCGCAGGGCCTTCATAGCGCGGGAAATTGGAGCATGCGGTACCACCTGCGATTAGGTTCCCCCTATGCGGTGCCGACCCCCACCCCGGGGGGCGTTCATAAAACATGGGAGCGGGGAATTACCGACGTATCCCGGCAGGAAAAGTGCGGTCAGGCCCTCAAGAAAAATTCAACAGGTAATTCGGCCACGCGGCTCAAATAATCCGGGGCCGCGGGTCGGGACATTAAAAACCCGATCTCCCCCCCACCTGCGAATTATTCAGGCGAACTCGGTGCCCCAGGGGTCGCGGTGATACTGCGAGTGGATCGCCCGGATTGAAATCAACGAGCTGGGCAATCTGCCCGTCGAACACCCCAAGACTCGGAATTTTTCACTCCAAGGTGAAGTGTTCGATGCCTTCTTGATTACGATATTATTCGGTTCAACAGGTAGCGCCGGAACAGGCCGGATCACCCGGTCCGGGTTGTTAGACTAGGGCAATCCGGTGGTCGAGTGCGCCAGGGATATTCCATCCGGTTGATCCAATTCAGCCTGATGAATCGATTACACGCTTCCGTATCAAATGTTCAGCTTAGTTTCATCAAATTGGAGTTATCGAAATGTTGTTAATCGGTGATTTTCCGGCAGGGACGCTTCTCGCGTTTAGGTTAGGACTCCCCGTCGCAGCTCGTACTGGATTCCCCGGGCCACGACCATGGAGTGTATAGTAACGGACATGAACACGTCTTCCCAGCAAATATGAAGTCGCCGATACACGCTGGAAAGGTATTCATGTCCACCTCGCGCACTGGCCAGATTCCGAAAACGTTAAAATCGAAAGAAGGCAAATGAGAAACTTCCCTACTCTGTCTCCCTCACTTTAGAAGGCACAGTTGTTCAGCGCAATATAATTAGCTAAACGTCGAAACCGATGGAAATAAAAGGAATGGAAAATATGCATTCGGTTTCTGTCCCTTTCTACTACCTTCACAGAAAGATCAAGGGACGATTAGGTTCCTGGACCCCCAAGTATCTTACGTCGGCCACGAGTTTCCGAACGGGTTCCTAAATCGGCGCAAGGCCCGCACGCTCGCGTCCCGGTTACTGCAAGCTCCCTCGCGTCGTCTCTCCGCGTCCGAAATTCCGCCGGCGTCCCGCTGGTAGGAGCTTTCGACGCCTCAACCGATCGCCCCCACCTCTGTCGATCTCGCGCAGTCGAAGGGGCATCGTCCCGTGACGTCGCGCAGCGCTCGCAGCGCGCCCTCGCGGCAATAGCGAGCGGTGACGTCACGCTCCGCGCGGGGTGGGGGGACCCGTGACGTCACGGCCACCCGCGAAGTTCGGCTCGGCGACCGGCAGAGTGCGCGCGAGTCGGCGCGCGAGCAGCACCGGCTCTATTCTTGGCGCTCGGTCCGCGGTGGCCCTCGGTTACGTAACCGCGACGTCGTAGGCGGTTCGTCGCCAAAATGGCCGCAAAATCCGCGGCCCAGCCCCACCTGGGATCAGCCAGATCCCGGGGGTCAGCGGCACCGGGCGATCTGGGTCGCGCCTTTGAGTCGCGTCTCTAGTCGCACCTCTGGGAATCCCATGGGACCCGATCCAAGAATCGAATTTCTGGCCGACCCACGAGCACCGATTCGCTCGAGTTCCTCTACGGACAGCTGGAAAACTGGGACGCGAGATGTTTCGACGTCGTTTCGCCGCCTAGGATTCGCGGGGGGCCTCGAATCCCGGGAACGAAGAGAGGTCATGGACAGAGATGGTATCTTCGGCGGAACAGGTTGCCTCGTTGCCGTGGCCACGCTCCGAAATGGGCTTAGTTTGCCCCGATCACTTGATACGCGGACTAAAGGCTTTATCGGTTTTATCAAACCGTCGGTGTAAACGATAGTGTACCGAAACAATACAATAGGTACTTCTCTTGCGAACCGCGTCAAGTCGATTCACAATCGTTTACACCGACAGTTTGATAAATCCACCCCCTTTAGTACAAGTATCAAGTGGTCGGGGTAAACTAAGTTTCAGACCTCATCCAAGGTTCGCGTCCACGGGGCTATCTCGAGAATTCCTGGAAACCTGTCCAAGGCCTGATTTGGCACTTGTTAGTCACGTCGCGAGCGTCAGGAAATTCTCGGATTTGTTGCTGAGTGTAGGTTAATACGAGGGAAATAATCTTAGCCTCCGAGGAGTCCCATTTTCCCGGAGCCCAGGAGCTATCTAAGGAACCGGGCTCGGGGTTTAGCATAATTTGGAGGGAGCATGCCGAGGACGGGGACCTGAATAAGAGGGGACATTTTTGTCCTCGTTAGACCGGCGAAGACGAGTCGCGGAAGGCTCTCGGGCCGAGCCTGCTCGACCGGAATGCCTCTGGCGATGACTATGATAAATTATACAGTGCCTATCGATCTCACCGCGCCTAAGGTCAGACACTACGGCAGAACTTGCCGGGCTCGTACCGCCAACCCCGGAATGAATTCAATTTTCCCGCTCCAATTAACCGACGCCGAGATAACCGCGGGCCCTTTTAGTAACTTCCGATGAGGGATCCATCACCTAGCGAGATTTCGGCGAAATTGAAATTTTCACTAGATCGAAACGACTCCCTTTTTTATTAAGAAATATCGAATTCTCCTGGGGGTTCTCGGTCCCTCCCGAGATGTAAATCCAACAGCCACGGTTCTTCGATGACTCAACCCCCTTTCCTACTTTCTCGGACTTCCCAGGGGTCAAAAATTCCATCAAAACGTCCCGTGAATCTCTCGAATCCAGGACGCTCGTAAACTTCGGGAGGGAGATCTGTCTGAACTTCTAAAAATAAACTCGAAACTCCGATCGGGTTGGGCTAGATCGGGCTTTTGAGAAGATCCACCTGTTAGCCGTCTCGAAGTTACAGGGTCATCCGGAAGTTCTTCGGCACCGGCTGTAAAGGGGCAGCCGCGTGTATTAAGTTCCGCGGGGCGATTTCCATAAAGCTAAAGAAGGTCGAGAATGGCCGGATATTTCGGGTCTCAAGTTTGGCAGGGATACAAGCGACCGGCTATTTTTGCCGACCTCAGAAACAATGCGTCCTGAAAGCCAAGGGACTCGATTGATGGCGCGCGTTGGTCGAGTTCTGGTTCCTCCTAATCCCATTTCCGTTGATAGCCGATAGCTTCCTTAAAGGTTCGCAAATAACTCCCCCGGCGATTATTTCGGCTCAGACTCGAAGAGGGGAAACGAAGGAGCCGTTTGTTTTCGGGAAATGCTTCCGATCGGATGCATCGCCCTAGCCTTCGGGTCCGCCATATTGATGGCGTCGTCTTGCGCATAGATAACTTATTATACGGCGGCCCGGAATTAAATGGAGCACCCTATTATGCCCTATCCCGTTTTACGCCAACCTGCGCTTCCCGGGTTAGCTATAAATTTCTTAGTACGGAAAGGTGGCGTCCTGGCATCCGCTGAGTTATTTTCCTGCTCGAGTAATACCAGTCACGTGCGCGAGGTATGTATCCGAATAATCGTTTTGAATTAGAGCCAAGTGCACATACTGAATTATTGTACCGAGTAATCACGCCGAGTTCCACAATAACGGACACACGTTCGATAGGGCTGCGAAATGGTTCCAGAAATTCTTGGACGAAAAAATTATCCCTCTTCCACAAAATCCTCACTTCTGTCGATCATAAAGTAAATACCTTTTACCGTTTACCGTATATAAGCTTCTTCCGTTCTTTCTTCTGTTATCTCGTAGACACGCAGAGACCTACGGAGGTGGTACGTAAAGTGGAACCAGGGACTTAACCAGCGTTTTCTGGAACCACGGCGCAGCACCTCGCGAGTGCGCTTTCAAATCTTTCGCAAGGAGCTTCTTATAAATGCGGAGTAAGGACGCCTTTCAGGCAGGAGAAAAAGACGGCTCGTTTACGTTACCATCCTTCCTGTAGTAGAGTATTTCGAAGTGCTTCTCGACGCCTGCGACGAGAGCGTCGCGCAGGGCGGCAACCGCATGTGGCGACGTCATGGGGCCGTGGAGGAACTCGCAAACCGCCGGGCGCTGCATCACCTCTGCCCTGGAGAAGCCCGTCAGCCGGCAGAACCCGTCCGAACAATAGATTATGTGGCATAGTCCCTGCTGCGCGTTGGCCACCAAAAAGCTGCGATCTGCAATCAGAAGAGCGAGGCGTGACGAGGAATGCATTATCGAAAATGGAGCACAACCTACGCCGAGGTTAACCGCGGCATTACGTGCAACCCCGAAGACGCCACTCGGCTCGACAAGATGGCCGCCAGAGGCGCAACTCGTTTAAAGAGGCGCGAACAAAAGTGTTCACGCTTTCGAAGGCGTAATACGACGGTGCGCGTAAAATTCGCGCCAGGGAGGTTAAGGACATAAGCGACGCGTATATCGACTCGTGTAAAAGTCGGGAAACGTGTGGGAGATCCCGGTGCTGCCCGAGTTTCACCCTTTCCGCGGGATTTCGGGATTACGTTACGAGTGGACCCAAGAGAACGACCCGCGGGGATTCGCGCGATTCATAAACGTCGGAGCCAGTTGGGGATGTCGTTGGCAAAAGTTGCGGAGTTTAACTAGGCTTCCCCTTTCGCGCCGTCGACCCCTTCGCTACCAGGAGGCCGTCCCGCAGAGCTATTGAAGCTCCTCGCGGAAGTGTTGGGGTTAAGTGTAGAAGTTAAATGTGGCCGAGCAAGTTGATACGGTTTTTTAGGGGGATTATAACTCCGAGTATTGACAATTATGGTGCACTGGGATCTATAGCACGATGGATAGGTCTGACGACCCGAAGAGGTGAACTTTCCCCGATAACGGAGGTACTTCGGTGACACGAGAGATGACCGATAGAGGCGCGACCAGTTTAGGGATGCGCGACGTATCAACGTTGGACACGCTATCCCGCTTCTGTGCTACGAGACAATGTGAGTTCTGTTGGTTAAGTGGCAGGAAATCGACCAAACTTCGAGTGTTACTGACGATTATACTACCGAGGAAATTTGGGATTACACGCGGGCGGTTAGTAGCAGCCTAGTTTGTTTACTACGCTGTAAGAGAAGCGTCGGAGAAATATCGTACAAAATATACCCTGGAAAGCGTAGTCATACACGAAGTATGAAAGTGAACTGTATGCCAGCGCTTGCGAGTGAAGAAGCCCCTCAAATCGGACGAAAGCTCCCCGGAATGCTTTATTTTACCTCCTGTTTGCAAGTCGAGCAAATGGAGAAGCTGGAAGGGAATTACGTCGCGGATTCGGCCGTGGTACCGTTCGTTTTCTGGGTGGTTCGACCTTCGTCCTAAAAGTGGCGGAGTTTAAAGCACACCCTATAAAACATTTTCGGTGCGGCTGTAATGGCCACCCGGCCAGACCCAGCCGCCTCGACTGAACTCGTTTATTTCCTACAAAAAGGGAGGCGTTGCTGCAAAACGAGGGTGCCCAATGATGATTAACTACGGAGGCACGGCGACCGCGTGAAAAGTGACTAAAGATCATTTTCACCAGATACGAGCGATATAAAGTAACCGCGACGCCGCGCGTGAAAGTGATTACCCTGGGGTGTAATTTTCTCGAATATGGCAAAATGGCGTATTTTCACAGCAGTTAACCACGTTAGCGCAGTAAATTGATCATTTCCACGGTAGTGCCCAGCAAGTGGCAGTATTTACACGGGGCCATTTGCAGTGCCCTTTCACTGGGCAACGTTCACTCGTGATGCACGGCCGATAGTAGACAAACTTTCATCGCATGCCAGGGCTTAATTGCGAAGAGGATCGTGGATCTTTCCCGAGTTGCATACAGTTTCCACGATCCGCCATCCCGCAGCGGCACGAGAGAGCCCACGACGCACCATAACCTAGTTACCGTGGAAATCGTTGTTCCATTAGTAAAAAGCAATGCGACGCAGCCCTGGCATTTCGTGGACATCAGTGACTACACTAAGCTGCGATCCGCAGAATTCTACCGCAATGCGAAACGCGCGAAGGCCGTGCGGGTTGCATAGCTCGAAAGCCATCGAGCTTGCACGAGACACGTAGCACCGTAGGATCACCCGATCAATTGATATAATTCCGCGAACGATAACGCGGACCGCCGCGGATTGCAGAAGGGGTCGGATCGCGAGCACCAGTGCCAAGGGCGCGCAAGTCCCCGAGTAACAAACAACGGACGATTTACGTAATCGTCACGGAAGATGGCGTGCTCCGGACATTTTTGCCGTATCCCCGTCGATAGGCCGATCGTTTAACGGGGCTTGTAATTACCGAGGGCATACAATCTTCGATCCGCCGCGACTATATCTCGCGACCGTCCAGGAGCTGGCTAGGCGTTCCCCCTTTTCAATTCGACATAACCTCGAAGCGGCGCGAAATCGCGTTTCAAGGATTTCTGGTTTCCACCGAGGTTCGCCAAATTGCGTACCATTGAGAGCCCGATCGGATTGTTTATCGAAGAAAGAAAGGAACCGGCGTTTATTTCGGGAGCCCTCGGGACGCTTTCGGGACCCCGAGAGACCCTGGGCAGTCGGCCATCGTTCATTCCCCGTTAACCTCTCGGCTCTTATAACCGTTCCTTTTCGCCGACAGGAATCGGCGAAACGCGCTGATCCCTCGGGGGACTCCCACGATATTCCGGGGATTTTTCAAAATACCCAAGGAGTCTCCGGCCGCCGGACCGAAATAGATTCGCCGGCTTCGACTCCTAGGAACGTTAGGCTCGGCGTGTGGTTGGGCCCTTTGCCAACGATGTCACTTAGCCCCGAGATCCACTTCGCTGCCTCCGCTATTTCGACTTACCGACCATGTATGCTCATATCTCCAGAAATCGCCTTTTCACCGCCTCCGAGAAAGCGGACGGTCTTTCTCGCGCCTCTGAGAAAAGAACGATATGGCACCCAGAAGATATTGGCGCCGCCCAACCGATAAGGGTGCATGTGTCTCCAGACAAAGCATTTCTCTACATCGCCTCCAAGGTCACGGATGGATTCACTTTTTACCCAGTCGTGCGACATGACGTGTTAACGTCTATTGTCTCCTTATAATTATCCTCTAGTTACTGATATGCCGTTTGCGCATGCTTTTCAATGTATTTGGCGCGAAACTCTATCGAGTTTCCTGATTAATGCGTTCATTACCAGGGATGTGTTCATATTGGTTTGCAATCGGTTATAAGTGTTACATTCTACACAAATCCACCAGTCAACGGTGCATTAGACAGAACAAATGGTGTATGTACACTGTTTACTAACATCAATTAGGCGGCGCTCTGCAGTCTCCGCCATTTCGACTTAAGAACAATGTATTCTCACATCTCCGGGAATTGCCTTTTCACCACCCGGACCTCTGAGAAAGCGAACGATCTTTCTCGCGTTTCCGAGAAAAAAAAACAATATGGCGCCCCGAAGACATTGGCGCCGCCAAACTAATGACTGGAACAGTAACTGAGTGCTTCCCTTTTCGATATAAGTGAAAAAGCGAATCATTGGACAAATCTTTAGTACAATTGTCTAAAGTGAAGAAAGGATTACTTCATGCTACAGAAATGGCTGATTAAGGGTAGATAAGGGAATCCTGACATTTTCATAAGATTCACTCCACTGAAAACATTAATTAGAAAGAGTTTTCCTCAAAGCTAGGTTTTTCCAATTGGATTTTCTCAATTTTAGAATTTTATTTCTTCCATATGCCCACAAAGAGTGGAACCGTCTTCACCATTACACCAGAAGTATTCAATTCGCAGAGGGTCTCAATGATGTAGCAACCAAAATATCAATTTTATAACCAAACTTTAAACATAACACCTTGAAAAACTAATCAAAGATATACAAAATAGTGTATATTTGTAGTTATTCCATTTTCGAGGAAAAAACAATGCCTGAAGTCACCGAATTGTGGGAGCTCTAGTTGAGAATACGCCCTTAACGCGTCCATGAACAGGGATATGTTCATATGGGTTTGCACGCAGAATGGGCGGCCACAGGTGCTACTTTCTGCATACATCCCCTAGTCAACGATGCATTAGGCAATACAAAAGGCGAATATCCGCCGTTTACTAACGACGTCATTTAGCTAGCGGGTACACTTCGCTGGCCCCGCAGTTTCGACTTGACGAGGCGAAAATCCCTAGCTAAGCCCGAAAATTCCCCGGCGTGTAGACCCCGGAATTTCATTCCAGAATTCCGCGGACCCCGTGCCAAGAACGCACTCGGAAATACGTGTCGCCCTGAGGCAGAGAGACGTCGGAAAAATTCGTTATCTGGATCCCTCAATTTCGGGCCACGTGACGAGTCCATCGCGCGAAAGGTCCCGAGGTGGCCTTGACTCTTGCTCGCGTTTCGGATGTTGATTCGCCGCTATAATTAATCCCCCTGATGAACATCTCTCCACAGGAGGAGGGAGAGGGCCGGCATAAATTTAGAACTGTTTACACCGGCAGATTTGAGAAATATCCTAACTTCGGCAACGGATTTCGAAAGACGCCGGCCGGCCGCCCTTGATAAATCGGGGACGAGCGTTCGGCCGCCATCTTGGATTTCCAAGGAGCGCCCGCGAGGTGAGAATCCGCCGACGAGCGTTGCCGATTAATAGATAGAATTTATCCCGGCATTCGAGGAAATCCTTCTATAAATCCTCACCTTTTGAAGATTTACAGGGAATATATTAATAATCGCGGGACTTGTCGTACCATTGAATCTAGAGTCTGGAGGTTTGGAAGTCACACCCTCGAAGCGGCAGAAACCCAGCAGAAAAACCGAGGAAGGTGCTAATGCACTTCTTACGTAGCCAAGTTCAAACAAACCATCCGTCACGAGGTCCGGATGGGCGAAAATTGAAACGTTCCACCTCGCGACGACAGGCCGCCTCTCGAGGCTGCATTTTCAATTCGATAAATAAATAATCCGGCCAAATCGGTCGGTACACGCGCGTCGGTTACTCGGTTAACGAAAGCGACATCAAAGAGGATCCTCGAGTCAGGAGCGAAGAAGATCCGCGTCTACCTAAATCTCTGAACAGGCTCCTCATTTCCCTCATAAATCCGCCGTTTCGAGGAATCCCGAAATCCTAAAATTTCTCAAAGAGCCCGCAAAAGTTGGACACGATAACAGTTACATCTCCCGCTTCTTCGATATAGCTGGAGGGTGCGGCAAAAGGCTGTAAC